GGCCTGCCGTCTGGCGGATTGGGCAGCGCTGCGACTGTGGCCATCTCGTGAAGTATTACCACGATGATCTGAACGAGACATAATGGATATGGCTGATGTGAATCGTTACTGGAGAAAGCGGAGATTAACCTCAAATCACTTATGAGGCCCTCCTTCTAGCTCCAAACTGTTGTCATATGATTCTTAACAACGATTTAAGGTGGAGTTTATGAGATAATTTCAAGTAGTTTGAACGTAAATCATGCAAGAGAAACTCAACAATGGCCCCGGTCCGAGGTGAACCGAGGTGAAAAGCCTTTATGGGCTGCTTCGCGTTTCATTGTTAAATATTGGGTTCCGAATCCAGCTCCCTTACAATAATCAGTGGCTAACTATATATAGTGGCCTTTTTTGATACACATATTGGGATCCGTGTATTATTCTCAGCATAAAGTAACTTTTGGTGGGCGGTTGGAGCAGTGGGTCCCACATGAATGATGACAAATCTCGTAGATCGTGATAGGGGTGTGTAGGCGTCTCGTCACCTGCTTTAGGAGGTGATGACCTTGGTTTATGTTGACCTCGGTTTGGGATGACTTAGGCGGAGGATGAGTCATTTCGGTCTTCTTGAGTCGTATCGGTCTATTGCGCGAACCGGGATGACTTTAGGCTATGGTAATGTCTGAATCAAATTCGCTTATGGTGCCGTTTTGGGCCTTTAATTACGATTTACCGAGTCGGATGATAACAGGAACCAAGATCTCATCAAAGATCCAAACACATTATGAGACGATACCATTTGATTAGAGAAATCATTGGTAGAGGAGACGTCATAATGGAGCGAGTTTGACTCAGCAGAAAATATAGCAGACCCCTTAACTAAGCCTTTATCACAGAAAGTGTTTGAAGGACATCTTGAGAAGATGGGTCTAAGATACATGAGTGATTGGAACTAGGGCAAGTGGGAGATTGTTAGAGTAGGATACCCGGCGTTCCAATCAAATTGGACGTATTCTCTTGTAAATACAATCTATTGGAATTATATTAAATAATAAGGCATTACTTTATTTTAAGAGTAAGCATTTATCATATATTTGCACTTAAGATAAAATCCCAAGATCACTTATAGCTATAAGATATGGTTGCACATAGAGATGGTGATCTTGGAACATATCTTGAAAGCTGTGATCTTAAATACAGTTCCAAGTCGTTGGATATTTCGAGATGGGATATCGAATAAATCCGGAAAAGACTTGCACATAGTATGTATGCTTATTGGATAAGAATGTTGCATTCCATCAACATTAGCGTGGGACGCAAATACATATATGTGGGTGCTTGTTAGAGAACAAGTTCACTGAACATGACCGTATGAAAATTCTTAATGAAAGTTTATCATGTCGAATAAGAATTTTCATGTTACAATAGTACATGATTAATCCTTAGACTTGAGGCACGATGGTAACTTTGTGCATATTATATTTTACTTTTATTTATCCTTTTGATTGCTAGCACAATCGTATAAAGGGATATTTTGGGTGTTATATTAATATGTATAAAAGTTTGTCAGTGGCCAACAAAGGATTCGACACTTATGAAGATAAGTGAATTTCCTATGTGTTTCATAGTTAGTAATTCAAAGTCCTTGGCCAAGGCGGAGTGCATAGAGATTCATAAACGAATTACTAAACTTTAAATGGAATCATAGTTATTAAATCAATTTGGGTTTTGACAAAATCATACCCAAAGATTTAATCGGGAAATTGGATGTCGAAAGGATTTTACATGTATGAACTTGTAATCGAGATATGTTTACTCGCTATTCACTTAATACTAGATTCATGCTACTTGCTAGATGTTCCCATGATATGTGGTTTCTTGAATTAAAGAGTTAATTCAAGAATAAGAGTTAATATGAATAACTCAAATTACAAAGAGTTGTAAACCCACTACTAGTATTAATTGTGAACCTAAAAGGTCACACCAATTTTTGCATGAAGGTAAAATTCAAATAGTATTTCTAAAGAGTTAGAATTAATTGACAAATCTAATTTGATTAGTTATCAATTAAAGGAATATATTAAATTAATCAATTAGATTGATTAATTGAATTTGGGATATTAATTTAGTAATTAATAGATTTACTAATTAATAGTTGGAATTTAAAATTGGATTTTAAATTTCAAATCCAAATAATAATAAGATTATTAAATAAGGAAATGGAAGAATAGATTAAAATAATAATGTCTTGAAAAATGTTTTCAAGAATTATTATTTTATTATTTATCTTTAATATGATTGAAGATTAAATAATAATAAGAATAAATTAATTATGGTGGTTAGGAGTTGTTAACTAATCCACATAATTAATATTATTTTTATTAATACAATAATAGTGATTGATGGTGGTTATAAATTAATCACATTATTAATAAAAGTCAATATTTGGTATGATTATTTAAATAAAATATGATTTTATTTAAAATAAAATATATCAAATATTGATTATTTTATGCTAAAATGTTTAGTATAAATAAGTGCAAAATGTTTGCACATTAATTGTTAAGTTTTGAGCAAAATTCTTTCTAGAGAAAATTCATTCAAAGAGTTGAGTGATAATACAAGAAATTGTTCTTGAAAAAATTCCTTATAAATATATATTCTACACTTCTTGAAAAACCGAGTAGTTTCTACTAGCGAAGGAACTATTGTCGGAACCGGACTTCAAAAGGTGGATACGATTAGAGGGAAGACATTTGGATTCCTAAAGTGAGTAACCACAACAAGTGATCGTTACCAAATCGGGAATTGATTTCCTCATACATCGTCGGTTTTGAAGAAGTTCAAGAACAAAAGTAATTCTTATAAATTACATATCAAATCAAAATTAGTAAAAGTTACTAGATTTTAAATGATGCTTATTCGCTATATCGTTATACTTATGTACGAAATAAGTATTTATAAGATAAATACTTATAAAATTTTAAATTCCGCTGTAAACTCTGTTCCGTACGGTATACCGAACACAACACCTTCCTCTTCTCAACCGGGGACCTCTAACTCTTCTTCCCATAAGGCCTCGACCAAAAAACTTTCTAAGGCTTCCCTGAGGCGTCCGTCTTCTACTACTCTCCTCCATCCTTGGTATGACCCTAACAAGATCAGCCAACCGCTCGGTTGGGCATTTTTTAGCTCTTCTCCCTCTGATAAATATGACCATCCCCTGAGGGACTGTTACACATTTTTCGAAATACAATATAAACTTGGTCTTCGCTTTCCCCTGTGCCCTGAACTTCTTCAGATTTGTGAATAGTTTGGGCTTTCTCTGCACCAACTCCCCCCAAACGCCATTCATTTTATGACCATCTTTATTATCCTCTGCCGCGTCCGTTTAGGTCGATTCGACCTAGACTTTTTCCATTATTGCTACGCCCCCTCTAAGCAAGGTCGTGGTCTCTATTTGAAGAGCCGCAATGGCGCCAACTTCACCAATGATATCCCCTCCAATCTTCCCAAGTGGAGTGATAAATTCGTTTTTGTCCGGCCCGATGCTCCTTTTCCTTCGCTGTCCGTCCCTTGGGTCAAGGAAGTTTCTCGAGAGGCGGCTTCAGCCCCTCCTCCCAATTCTCTGTTCGACCAACGGGTCTTCACTTGGAACTCCAAGTCCGTTGCGTCCGAAGTACTTCTCAAGGACGATAATCTTCTCCATTATTGTGGTCTTCTCACCCACAAGACATGTCCTCCCCCAGTGATGATATTCTCGATCTTATC